GAGTTACACTGCTTGAGTTCAAATCCTGCTCGGCCACTTGCTAGCTATGTGATCTCTGGTAATTTTTTTTACTTTTCTTTGCCTCAGTTTCTTCACCTGTGAAATGGGGATAATAATAGTACCTACTTCATAGGCTGTTCTGAGGATTAAATGAAATGCTACATGTAAAGTGCTCAGAAAAGTGCCAACACATAGTAAGCATTCAACAAGTGTTAGCTGCTGTTATTGTTATATTATTGTTGTTATTATCGTATGAAAAGATATTTGACCTTACCTAGCAGCAAGAAGTGAAAATAAGAACAATAAGACACATTTTAATGCTAATTAGACTGGCAAACATAAAACTCATTAATAGACTCTACGGTTGGCAAAAGTATGGAGAAGCAGACACTAATAGACATGTAATGGGAGTGAAAACGGATTTGGCTTTCTGGAGGGCAATTCTGGAAAGATGCATCAAAATGCTTAAAAAACACACACCCTTTGACACAAATTCTACTTGAAGGAATTTATCCTAAGGACATAGCTGAAAAAAAATGCATGAAGATGTGTGTGTGTACTAGATTATCTCAACATTAATCATAACAAAAAATTGTGAAGAAGTTAAATTGTAAATATCTTGAATAACCAACATGGAATCACCATATAGTGGAATTCTATGCAATCATTAAAATGATGTTGTAAGATTATGTTTACTGATCCAGAGCTCTGCCTATGATATATTTTTAAGAAAAAAAAAAAAAAAATCAGGTCACACAATACTATCTATGGTATGATTCAAACCCAAACTCTTTACCTTGGACACTGAGCCCAGACAGGATCTGGCCCTGCCTATCACATTGACCTCATTTCCTACCACTTTTGTCCTTGCTCAGCTACTCCAGCCTTCCAGGCCCTCGTGAGGTTTTTCAACGCACCAAGCTCACTCCCATCTCAGGGTTTTTGTACTTGTTTTCTCTGTCTGGAATGGTTTTTCTCTAGGTCTTCAGATGACTAGCTTCCTTACTTTGTCCAGTCGATTCAAGGGTCACCTCCACAGGGAAGCCTTCCCTGACCACTCTAGTTGAATGCTACCTCCCACCCTCTTTGCCTCACTTCTCTATCCCTTTGCCTTGCTTTATTCTTCTTTACAGCAACCATTACTAAACAAACACATTATTTTACTTGTTTATTATCTTCCTTCCTTCACTAGACTGTAACCTCCACACAGGTAGCACTCAAAATGCATCTAAGGCCTGACAGAAGGAATCGAGAATACTGCAGAAGAAAGGCCTGGTGATCTGCTTCTGTTAAGATTACCACCAAGAAAACCCTACAGAGAGGTTCTACTCTGTAACACATGGGGTGCCATGAGTTGGCATTGATTTGACAGCAAGGAACCACAACAGTAACATCTATATAGACTGGAAGAATAGTCACTAAATTGTTTACAGTGGTTAATCTCTAGATGAGAGGATGTTGTGTGATGTCTATTTTCTTTTTAATGCTTTTCGGTAAATTTTACAATAAGCACGGAATACTTCTATGCTCAGAAAACAGCAAGACAATCTCTGTTTAGAAAAATTTTTACCTTCCTAATTTTGTCTGATCTAGAGTGTAATAAAAACAATTTATTTATTCCCTTCAATTTGATATTTAGGGTAAGTGGTAGATGTTTTCTGTCTGAAGAATTAAAACAAAACAAAACAAAACAAACCCATTGCCGTCGAGTCAATTTCAACTCACAGGGACCCTATAGGACAGAGCAGAACTGCCCCACAGGGTTTCCAAGGGGCAGGGGGTGGATTCAAACTGCTGACCTTTTGATTAGCATCCATAGCTCTTAACCACTGCACCATGAGGGCTCCTAGAATTTACATCTGCCCTGGATAATGCTCAAATATCAATAACTAAACTCTAACTGTGTAAGTTTTCATGCAAGAGAGAGACACACATAAACACAAATAAAAACAAAAAGAAAAAAGAAACCTAAAATCACAACAAAATCAAATCAGAATGCGAACACTTGTTACCAGTGGCAGGCTCACATGGAACTGGTGTGTAATATTTGGAGTACACTTCGTCTTTGGGCCGGTCAGGAAACACGTAGATAAGGTAATTCAGGTCCCCCAAGCGGTCAGCTAGGGACCGGATGGAGAAGTCTCTGGTAGTAAAAGGCATCAGGTTCCAAAACATTCTTTCCTCTAAACCAATAAACAGAATAATCACATTCTAAACGTGACTTCTGAATAGGAAATCTTACAGCACAAATATACTACAAGTTAAAGCTCTCCATTTAAACTTGCCCCCATGAAAATCCCCATTAAAATAACCACGCACTGTAGATAAAGTAGTTTTAAAAAGCCCCAGGTAGACAGGCAGGTAATGCACACATGACCTCTGAGAGATCCAACAATCACAGGTGGTTTCAAGTTGAAAGAGTATTCAGTCCCTCTCTGGAAAAAACAGTTCTCATTAACCCAGTCCCTGATTCCCTGTACAAAAGTACACAAGGGAGGTGAGAGGCATGCCCACAGCCAGAGGACGCATGAGAGCTAGTAAAAAGCTTTTTGAATTTTTAAGTCACAAAAAACAAACTCACAAGCAACTTTTATTGTGAAGGTCAGAGGAAAGAACTAACATTCCTGGGTGGAAATGATCATTGGCAATATCTTTACACTGGAGTCCCTGGGTGACCCAAATGGTTAAGCACTAGGCTACTTGTCAAAAGGTTGGGGGTTCAAATCCACCCACAGGCGCCTCAGAAGAAGGCCTGGCGATCTGCTTCTGAAAGGTCACAGCACTGAAAAGTCTATGGATTCTACTCTGCACACAGGGGGTCACCATGAGTCAGAACTGACTGAATGGCAACCACCACCACCTTTACATTAGTTAGGAAAAAGGGATAATTAAAGTAGAATACTATTACTGCTCTAATGACTCCAAATCATCAAAGTAATTCATCACTGAAACAAGCTCAAGGTTGACTAATAATGAAGCAAACCTTTCAAAGGGAAGCAGCTGAGATTCTGCACAGGCTGCTGTATTATAGGAAGCCATGTCATGCTTAAACACATTTGTGTTTCCCAAAATTAGTGACTGTCTTTCCCATAATTAGATTTTTATCTCGTCAGATCTATTATGGGCAGCTGTGACATGGTTATACACCCGTGTTTCCTATAATTAGTACTGGTTCCAACAAATAAATTGTTTGTTAAAGTAATTTAGCAATAAAAGCAGCTAACTCGAGCCAAGACGTGTCCTAAAAAGGAAAGGGCACTCACGAGAGTCAAACTTCCAAGCAATGGTGATGCCGCCAATTTCAGAGTCGCTGAATCTCAGCAGGAAGGTCCCATCTGGCTTGTTAATGAGTAGGTCATGGGCCTGTTGCTTGTTCACAAAACCCAAAATAGCCCTGGATCACAAAGGCCAAAGGAGCAGAAGCAGAGTGTGATGCTTGACGCCAGAAAGAAAACCCTCTTACTCTACTGCTAACTTAAGAAATGATGATTCTCACCCATCATTCCAGTGAGGCTTGAGATGTTTTTTTAACACTTCCATCACACCGTCAAACCACTGCCAGAAAGTGTAATTCCGTCCTGGTAAATTCTCCTGGTTGAATATACAACAATGAACACAAGAAAGCAAGAACAACACTTGGAATGCTAATCTGCAAATAACTTTAATTGGAAAAAATAAATAGAAAACAAACATCTACACCGTTAGAAGCATACAGGTGTATGTGTGCGTCTGTGTGTGTGTCTGTGTGTGTGTCTGTGTGTGTATATATATAGATATGTACCTGTATGTATACCTATACCTCTAAGTAGATATATACATACATACATATATATATATATGTATATATCCACCCAGAAGTGCCTTAGAAGAAAGGCCTGGCGATCTGCTTCTGAAAGACCACAGCCATTGAAAACCCTATGCAGCGCAGTTCTATTCTGAAACACATGAGGTTGCCATGAGTCAGAATTGACTTGATGGCAACTGATTTTTTTTTTTTTAACGTGAGTTTACCACATAGTCCTATAGCCAGAAAAACAGAGTAGAGAGGAAAAGAAGGAAGAAGAGGAAAATACCAAAGAGAAATTACCAACACCCAGTGGAGCTCTGCTACAGACACTTTCCCCTGGATCTGGACTGACCAGTCCCCTGCTACTTTCAATGTGTGGTCTGTGGCCAGCAGCATCAGTATCACCTGGGAGCTTTTAAGGAATGCAGAGTTTCAAGCCCCATCTCAGACCTGCTGAATCGGAATCTGCATTTTAACAAGATGCCCAGGAGATTCATAAATTTGAACTGGATTAGATCAGACTGTGAGGCCTCAGATCTCTCTCCATCACACAGCTTGTTACTAGTAATTATCGGCAAAACAGAGTTCCATGATTCTACTGGAAGGCAGATGCTTCACGACAATGCCAAAGACAGACTATGGAGACCTCCTGCTTCACCTATCAAACCTCCCCTGAACACCAGCAAAACTGTTGGCCAACTTCTTAACACAAAACCATTTAACAGAGTTAAAGACTCAGGGACTATCAGCTACCTGAATTAAGGGCATTTAAAACTCTTCTGAGAAGTGGGTAAGAAAAGAAACAGAAGTTAAATTGAAAATCCATGAAAGATTTGACATGTGCCATCTCAATTACCAGATGCTAAAGGAAAAAGGCCCTTCATCAGCAGCCCCTTTTGAGGTTTAGGGTTCCATGGGAGCCTGACTTTACATTACACATCAGGGAACGTCAGAGAGTGAACAGGATGGAGCCATGCAATTCTGACCATCCCAAGAGCTTTATTTCCCATGAGTTATGTTAACGTTTGCTTTGCTCTGTTTCCTTTATAAAGGAACTTGTACCTAAAGCCTAACTTATTTAAATATGCAAAGATGTCATTTTCTCCTTAAGACCCGGATAACTCTCAAGTAGTCCATCTATCCAGAAGCTTCCTATTACTTTGGTACATTTTATTAGAACGAAGAACAAGGGCTCAAGACAGGGAGATTCCTGAAGGCATCTGGTTTTGAGATATTGATCTAAGATAGCAGCTGGCGGCTGTGGTCCTCACCCTGTTGAACTGGGACCAGGACACAGACATGTTGCTGTAATCCTCCAGGTGGTTGCTGCTGCTGTTGAACAGTTTCTGTGCCAGGAACACGAGGTTCTCCTTGGTCAGGCCCCGGCTGCTCTGCACTTCTGCCTTGAACTTCATGTTGAGTGCTTCACACAGCTGCGGCCAGAGCACTTTGTCCGGCACAGCAAATGGCACCCTGCCCTGAGAGGGAGAGAAGCGGGACTCTTGTGAGAAAACAGCTGCATGATTTACTCCCTCAACCTGCAAAAGAAAACTATCTATGGCTAGAAGTAGTTAGACATTTGTCTTGCAGAGCCTGAGAATAAATTCAAACTTTCTTGCTGTATGCAATTCTGCAAAATTCAGAAGGTTCCATCTTACCTTCTTCACTCATGACTCAGGAGGTAACCCCATGCTATTTGTGCTGCTTTGTGAACGAGCTGCTAGTCCACAGTCCATTGCTAGAGTCTAACAGCGTAACCTCATGGGGGAATTCAGAAATCTAAAAGACTGGTTTTCTTGGTACAGAGAGGAAGTGCGTATGTGTGCATTCACGTGTGTAACACTTGTTCCTGACACTTTACACCAAGAACTGTCACTCAAAGTGAAAGAACTTAGTATGGAAGAGTGGAAATTACAAATTGGATGACTTTTCTAGTTGAGAAGTAGGTTACAATATGAATTGTTAATAAACCGTTTATCATCCCATTCAGCCACAGCACTTCGTTTTAATTATTATAAATTTTTCTTGAATAGGCAATTTCCTCACATGATATAATATTCGAAAAGTATGTAAGAGTATACAGTGAAGTCACTTTCCCATCCCTATCCCCCAGGTACCCGGTTCTTCTCCTCAAAGGCATCTAATCTAGTTTCTTGTGTATATCTTCAGAGATATTCTATATATGCTAGCAAATATATATAACTTTTCTTTTTTTACACAAATGGGACCATAAAATCCACATTGTTCTGCATCTCACTTTTTTCACCTAGTACTGTATCTGGGAGATCTTATATGAGTACATAAAGAAATTCTTCATTCTCTTTTATGGCTGCTAAATATTCTACCACATGGCTAAATAATAATCTACTTAACTAGAGCCCCACAGGTGGGCATTTGTATACCAGCTTCCAAACCTCGGCTTTTACAAACAGTGTTGCAATGCACTTGTGTCATTTGGTACATATGCAAATGCATCTGTAGAATAAATTCCCACAAGTATTTATTTATTTTAAAATCGTATAGGACGCACAC